ACACGACATAAGTTCTTAACACGGGTACGAGACGAAGGGCATCCAATACCCCTAACATTCCAAATAATCATATTAAACATAAAAAACAATTAATGCGAAGTATTAGACCTAGTGTTCCTAGCAGGCTGCACAACAACATTCTTAAGTTTCCTACCTTTTTTACTCCGAACTTTACTATAACTCTTATCATTGTCAGACATAGCATGACATTTGGCATTAATATCCATATCTTCATAATCAGTAAAAGCATCGCTATTATAATGAGAATGAGTAGGAGACTTACCCTCCAAATTTAGAGTAGAGCCATCATCTTCCATAAGCTTACCATCATCACTCAAATTTTCAATACCCTGAATGCTCGTACCTTTCAAAGTAGCAGAGTTAGCCAGCGGATGAAGAATGGGACTAATTTCTCCTTCCTCACATGAAACATTAGTTTTTTCAGCTTCCTCCCCAATCAGATGCACATATAAAGCAATGTTTTCCTGTTCAACAATCGTAGCCATACTAACATCAGCATTAGTAACAGGAACCACAACATTACAAGCATGAGAAATAACCATATTATCTAACCCATTAACATCAATATTATTATTAACATTCTCCACACTCTTTAGAGATTCCACATCCTCACCATTCTTTTTAATAATTTCCTGATCTATACAATTATGAATTAAAACCTCAAACGGCCTTGCTTTAGTTTTCCCATTAATCCCATTCACAGGACATGATAGATTTTCAATATGCTCCAACGGTTTTTCCTTACCCTTTTCAGCACACACCTCATCTGATTGAGTACTAGACTTCTTAGCAACACGTAGATTAGGAACTTTTTTAAAACATTCACTGGCAGCATGACCGTGCATTTTACAGAAATAATAGAATATAGGCAAATTTTCTATTTCAACTTTTTGAAAATATCCTTTTACCTCAGAGCCTAACCAAATTTCATTAGGATATTTTTTAGAAACATCAAGTTCGACTAACACCCTAGCCACTGAAGGCCGAGAGACTGACGCAGTAGCTTGGTCAGTTTGAAGCTGATGGCCAAAAATTGAAGCTAAACCAAATAAAATCTGTTGGTTAAAAAAATGCAGTCTCAAGTTAGGAAAAGCTAGCCAAACAGGAGCTATTGGTGATTCCTCCCTGATCACATCAAAATCAGGAGTCCACTTCAACAATCTCATTTGACAAGCTTGAATGTAATACACTCTTCTTGAAAAAATATGACTGTAGTCTAGATCATTCGAAAGTTGAATAGCAATGTGTCTTTGGTCAAGTAATCCAACATGAAAGGAACTTGAAAGCTTGAGGTTAAAGAAAAACTTACGAATCGTGTCAAGATTAGGCCTTCTTAAAATAAATTTACCAACTAAAGTAAAGGCAAAAGGAGCAGCAAGCTGATCAACAACGGATTCCTCGAAAAGTAAAGCCAGAGCTCCTTTATACGAAGCATGAACGAAACTCAGCTTCGGAGCAGAAAGAGATCCCCCAGCAAGGACATCTTTAAAAGACCGAGATTTACCATCCATGCCTGACGTTAAAGGATGTGATGATGACGGAACCGTCATCATCTCATACCAAAAACTCAGGAAAAAACCCCAAAGAGAGAAAGGAGACAGAACTATATATATATATATATATAGGTTTGGAAGTAATCAAAATTAAAAACTAAAGGATGCTGGTATCTCTTAAGAAATCCATCTGCAGCCTAACAGCTTTATAGAGAAACAAGTAATTAGCCATGTTATAATCATCAACTAAATGTAAAAGAACAATAAAGCAAATATTACTAATAACTAAGTATAGAAAAACCAAAACCAAAAGGGATTCAGATTGCATTATTTTGTGCCAAACAGTGTGATTTCCCAAAAAAAAAAAACTTCCAGGGAAGCAGAATATGAATCACCAAAATACCAGGAGACTGAATAATCCTCAAACAAGGTAAACCCATGGACGCAATAACACCATTATATATGTCCTACCACTTAAAAAGAAATACAAAATAATAGTAATATTCAAATGAATCAACCCATCAATACGTAACTCTTTCCCAGCTTGAAGAGGAACCAACCCAAATCCTTAAAAGAACCAGCCCACATAATGCTGAACAAAATATAAAGGCAGCATTAAGTAAAGCCCCACTAAGATCCCCTCCATACAGGAAGAAATCAAAATAACCAACCAACAAACCATATCAATTACCAACAACTGAGGGAACCAATAAGAAATAGAGCCAAACTGAGAGGTAGATATCCCATGAACAACATAAAAATAAAACAGGCAAGAACCAATAAGAAATGAACTAAGAAACTCTAACACAAGGGATGCCCATACAATCTAGCCTAGCTAAACCCAGCAATCTCGGTGGAATAGAGGATCCCACAAATTCCATAAAATCTAATATACTAGAACCTAAATTAGCTAAATAATAAGCAGTAGCATTTCCCTCTCTATTAATATGATTAATATAACAATTAATAAGATACAACCACTGTTTAATCTCTCTAATAATATAGAAATAAGAAGAATTAGTGATACCTTTTTCAAAAATAAAATGAATTACGAGCTTAGCATCAGTTTCAATACAAATATTAGTAATCCTGAGTGAGATACATAATTGTAACCCATACTTTAAAGCCTGAGTTTCAGCCATAATCGCAGTGGTAATATCATAGGGACCTATAAAAGATGCAAAAATATGGCCAATGAAGTCACAGATGAACCATAACCAACTTTTAACCTTTTGAACGCACCATAAGTATTAAGTTTGTAGCAACCCATTCTCGGTTTAATCCATCTAACTAAAATGTCTTTAGATAACTAACTATTAGGCCCAGCACTTGAAATGCCAAATTGCTCGGCAATTTGAGAGGAGTTGTTAAGAAAATCCAAACTAATCAACTTAGCCAAAGATAATTGTCTCACTCTATCCTTAACATTGAGGACAACATATGAGGCTTTCATAAAAGTATTATCATGCTTAGCCTCATTCCTACTATTCCAAAGAAACATTTAAACTATGATTTAGGGTTCTATTATTATTCTAAATTTATATAATTTTAAATTATCATTTTTATTAAAGTTAATTAAATAAATAAAATACAAAAAAATTAAACATAAGGGGAATTTTAATGAAATGTAAATAAAAGAAACACAAACAATAATTAACACTACACGCTTTCATATGAATGATAAAAAGGTGCATAAAATATGTGTTAATAGAATATAACAAAACATCACATACATAACATTGATTATAGGATAACTAGTGCACTAAGCAATATGCATAGCATATCAATTGGGTTCCCTCCAATAATGGTAAAAACATGCACACCTACATATTTCAATTTCTCACCTAACTAATTTATCTTCTAAAGATAAGAAGTCAAACAAAGATACACAAACACACCCTCTCTTTTTATTAAATTCATAACTTCCTTATATATCTATTTCACATGGTTTTAATCTATGACCATTGACCTTGAAAATATGAAAAGTTTTCTTATCTTGAATGCTGATGGCACCATTAAGATATATTTTGATAACATTGTATGAGTTAATTCATCCATATTTATTTTGTTCTTGACAAAAACTTCTTCCTGTAATAAAATAGTAAAATATCTTAACCAGGCTGAAATTTGTAGCATAAAAAATCACATTTATGCATTTTCTTCATATATGTTTTGTATATTCTTGAATATTTATGAACTTTATCATGAAATATATGGATTTTATTAATAATAGCATAACCTTGCATGTGGAGAAGAGAAAAGGAATCTTTATTTTTCAAATGTTTTTCCCTCTTATTCCTAAAGGAGGAATGCCTTTGCTTGGTTCTCCCATTGTTAAAGTTAAAATTCCAAGAAGAGAAAGGTAATAATATATTCAAAAACTAACATGGATTGATAGAGAAATTTCCAAAATAACTTTTTTATAATGTTTAAGTAAGAGGATGTTTTAAAATTTGAATCTCCCAACCACTTAGTCCAGGCTCATCATTATGGCGCTAATGGTAATGTTATGGCGCTTTACATCTCCAAAGTTTTTTTTATGAAAATCAAACTACCCTGCCTATATATTCAAACTATCAATTAGGTTACATACCTTGAAGAGCTAATTTATTCAACAAGACTTAATCACTTACTAATCCTTTTTTTGAGTTGCCTACAATGTTAATTTTAGTCTTCAGTTAGATTTGCCTAGAATTTTCAATTTGGTTAAGGTAAATTATTTCCATTCTTCACTTCAATTCCATTATAATTTTTTTTTATTTTGGGTTAACTTTAGTATTACTCGATAAAGATCCAAGAAGTCTTCTACAAACTGAAATTGCATGATGGCTTAATTTGGTCTATAAATTTTTAATAGAAGCAGCTTGATTTTATATTTTATTTCCCAATTACATAACTACAACTTCAAATGTTATTTTTTTGATTTCCAAATAGATTATTTTGATTAAATCCTTGAGGATATGTAGGTCTAGAATTAACAATTGGTTGTTGAGAATTGTTCGAATTTACTCCTTGATTATTATACTATTATTCCATTGATTACCGCCCAAATTATTTGACCAATTAAAATTAAGATAATTTCTCCAACATGGATTATACATATAAAAATAGAGAATATTTTGCCTTCCAATTACATTAATATTTTCTACCCCTTTTATAGTATTATCTTCAATTGAATTTTTCTCTCTAACTAATTCAGTTCCATAACCAAAATTTACTCCTATTGTATTTAATTTTTTTTTTAAAACTACAGCAACAAATGCAATCAAGATTAATAAAGCATCATATAAATAAATTATAGCTACTTTTTTAGGATTTACCCTATCAGGAGGCCACTAGAAATTATTAGTGGTCATTTCCTCTATTAATTTATAGGCTTTTTGAAATGGCTTAGATATTAATGATCCTCCAGCTACAATATAAATTATGGCTCTAAGAGATCCTACTAATCAATTATAAAATTTTTGAATAATCAATCAATCAGGAAATACATAATGTGGGCATTTTCTAAGAATTTCTTTAAATCTATCCCAATTATCATAAAGGGATTCTCCTTCAAATTGAGAAAAAGAAGTTATGTAATTTTGAAGCTTGAAAATTTTTTAAGCTGAAAATTATTTAGTAAAAAATGTATGAGCTAACTCATTCTAAATAGTTATTAAACCTGAGGATAAAGAATTTAATCACAATTTAGCTTTATCACTTAGAGCAAAATGAAACAATGAGTCTAATAGCATCATCATTAACACTACAGTACTTAAATGTTACACAATTTTTTAGAAAAATGCCTAAATGTAAATTGGGATCTTCTATAGGGGTTCCCTTAAACTAATAATTTTTAACCATTTGAATGATAACTAGTATGATATTTAACCAAATTATTAGATTGGATTGCAGGTATATTTATGCTCCAATGAATTCTATCTACTAAAGGATTTATATAATCTTTAAGAGGTCTAGAATAATTTTTCTCTAACTCAGGTTCAGCCATTTTTCAAATCTTTTGGTTTTCCTTAATTCAAAAAGGGTTCTCTCAATTTCATGATCAAATGACAAAAAATCCTTTTTATGGTTGTAAAGCATGCAACAAAAAATTTACAAAAAATAAAAGTAAAATAAAATTAAGAAAAATATAAGTAGGTATTACAATATAATTAATTCAACAATATAGTGAGAATTTGACAAGAAGAAAGATACTTCCCCAACAATTGCGCCACAAAATAATGAGAGTTGCGGAGTAACCTATAGAATTGTGAAATAATATAGGGCTCTATTAATCTCTAACAACGCTTAGGCTTTCTTTGATATAGAATAAATTATAAAAAAACTCACTTAATATACGCAAGTATACATAATAAATTAAGTAACATAGTGATAGAGTTGACTATCGATCCCATGAGGAATATATGCTTACTTTCAAACACTAATACTATCTACTAAAATAATAATAATTATCCTACTTGATAAAAATAGATTTTGTGAAGATTTAATCACTTAAATAAAATTAGATAAAAAGTAATGAATATATGAAGTGGATATAATATTTTGGATTGATGAATGTAAATAAAATATTTTCCAAATGAAACTCTTTTAATTATGATGTTATTCAAAGCATATGCATTCCTAGATCTCTGTAAAGCTTGTAGGAACAAAGGATGTCCACAAATTTCCTATATTTATATCATTTCTTTACAAATTTAGTATATTTCATACCCTATGCCAAGGTATGATGCATATTAATTTAATATACTTGGTTATGCCTGCTTTTCTCCATCAAGGCCCCATATTACACATAATTTTAACTACATATTCGGACACTATGTGTATTAAATGAGGATCTAGTAATACTAAAAATATATTTTTTTAATCATTTACAGAATAAGAGAATTCATTAGAATTGCATATGATTCTTACATCTTCAATTCAAAATAAGAGAATTTATCCAAACATGGAGTAAAATTGAAGCAAACTTATTTTCTTTAATAGCATGATAAAAAGAAAATAAAAGAGATAAATAACACTAGATAGGTTTAATATATCTCCTCTACACTCCATCTCTTTACTTACAGATTTGTTTCCATAAATAAAAGCCAAACACTCTAATGATGATATCAAGTATTTCTATAAATTTCTTTAATTATCACCATAAGAGAGTTTCAAAGAAGCACTCTAAATTATAATAAAATTATTAAAGTAACTAAACACTCTTACAAATATAATGAAGTATTTTATTTATGAAAATATAAATTAGGCATCTGGTGCAGTGTCGCTTAAAATATCAGTGTCGTTGTATCAAATAAATGAACTGATATCGTACTGCTTTTCTTGTTCCACGACACTACTTTTCTTATTTCGTAGCAGTTCTTTATTATGTGGATAAGTTATTTAGTGAGCAGTCAAGTCATTTTCCAGCCAGATTATTGCCTTGGAAGTAATAGCTGCTACTCCGCGGTGCTGCTGACTGAAATGTTGTGGCACCAAATGAGCAATTTGGGAGCAAAAGCGCAACATAGTCTAACACTATGATGCTTGACGACAAAGAAAATGGTGCTTAAAAGCTTAACTTTTGACGCTGCATCATTTTCTAACCGAGAGGTTGGAGCTGCAATGTTGATATTCTGGCACTCCAGTAAGTCCTAGATGGTGTTGAAGCTTTGTTTGTTTTGACACAGTGATGCTATATAAAACTTAGAATTTTATTCTTTTTATATATTGTTTCTACATAATACAACTAAAATAATATATTTTCACTAAAAATATAACACATAAAATAACACATTATTTACACTTATCAGTGGACATATTTAATAGCGGTGGATGTATCCTTTTGAGAGGTCATTTTATGAAAACATAGCATATCAAATATTATTAGTAAGCTTTAAATTCATAACCATACATCATTTTGGTAATTAAATAAACTTAAGAAGACTATAAAGAACAAAGCATGTCTAAAAGGATTATTATATAAATCATACTCGATGTATGAGACTACTCAATTTTGCTCATACTACTTTATGAGAGAGTTACAATCAACAAGGAATATTGTACATCAAAATTTGGGTAATCCAGATGTATGTCCATCTATTAATAATATATTAGTATTCAATGGATTTGGTGAGGTAGTAGGCTCTTATACTATGTGTTAGTTGACAGATAAGGAGAAATGAGTTACATCATTGTACATTGCTTAATTGTGCTAAAATTGAGCCATATCTTAGGTAAGTTAAAGTTAAAATACTGAAAAGTTTATAGGCACATACATAAAGACTCTAAATTTAAAACTTTTGAACGAAATTCGTTATGGGTTTAACTTCAATTTCACTATTAGAGCAAAAAAAGATAGTAGAATCTAAATTTCTAAAATAGTTTAAATAAATGATATATATTTTAACAAGTCACATTAGCCTTATATATATTCAATTAACATAGTAAAAATGATAATAACATAGATACACTTTCTACACCAATCAGGTTTACAATGAAGCCAAAGATTCGCAAGAGCAAGGATTAATGAATATAGCAAGGAGACCTATGAGAGGAGTAAAATATTAGCCAATTTTTATTGTCAATGGTTACATATTTCAAACTAAAGCTTGGTGTGAAGGTTGAAAATAAAAAAACTATGAAGTATGTATGAAATGGAATAATCAAATAGTGATGATTGAGAATATTATGGGGTATTGCAGGAAGTACTACAATTGTAATATCCTAGTCCAGTGAATAACTTGAATCTTTTTAATTATGATTGGTTTGATCCAGTGCAAAATAGAGGAATAAGGGTCATTTCACTTTATGGTATTATAGAAGTAAAGAGAGGTAAAAGATATGGAAAATATGATGAAAGTTTATCAGGGATGTTAGGCTGTTATGAGCTAGTCCCGAGGATAACCAAGAGGGGGTGAATTGGTATTTAAGAATTTCTCCAAACAAAGACACAATCTTAAACCAAACCAAGATTCACCATAAGAGAAATGAAGTGCAAAAATTAAATATGGAAGAATAATAAGAAATAACACATCATATTTTATAGTGGTTCGGTCAACTTGACCTACGTCCACTCCTCGAAGCCTCTTCTCTGGGTATTATACTAAACTCAGTTTCTCTACTTTTTCCCCCACAATAAGGCGAAGAAGCCCTGAACAAAAAACTACTTTCCACCAACCCCGATAAGGCAGAGAACCCAACTCCTTTTGCTTCCTCCAGAAGTAGGCAGAGAACCTAACTCCTTTTGCTCCCTCCAGAAGCAAGCAGAGAACCCAACTCCTTTTTCTTCCTCTAGAAGCAGGTAGAAAACCTTGATTAGTTATTGAAGTAAACCTCTCTAGAACCCCCAAGGAACTAGGGATGACAACCAGAGAAGATAATATGGATCCTTTCTTGGAGCAACCTTTGTGAAACCCCTCACACACTCTCCCTCACAAGATCCTCTCTCTCTCTCCCTTACTCTCCCTCTCCTCTTAGATCTCTCAGGTTAGGACAGTAGCAAAAGATAGTCTCTTGGGTAAAATAAGAGGTCTTATATAGAAAAACTTTATATTTTCTCTTAATTGTAACAAACTAAAATTATCATCTAGGATGATCGACAGATCATTCTGTATGATTAGTTCAAATTTAGCTCAATCACCTAGGACAATTTATAAGAGTCTGGATGATTAGAATGTTAATTTGTTCAGATCATCCAAGATGATAGGATATCATCTTGTACGATTAGTTCAAGTCATCAAATATTGTCCAGGCCATCGCTGTAAATGGATGTCTAAATGATGAAAAAATAATTTGATCATCCAGGCCGATCTCACGATCGTCTATGATGATTAGTTTAATTTAGTATATATCATCCAGAGCATCACCTTGAATGAAACCAAGCTAATTTTTAACCTTCAGAAAGAATTAAGGTTTGTGAACTGATCATCCCAAACATCTTGTGATCGTCTAGGATAATATGATCGAGAATTCAAACCTTAAATTCTTTCCTTAATTACCAAATTAATTTAGGCACATTTATGTTGCATCATCTAGGATTATGTCCTAGATGAAGTCCAAAAATAAAAGATGCCTAAATAGATATGGCAGCTGATTCTTTCTGATTTGAGCCTATCATCTCGGACAATGCTAATATTGTCTAGGACGATTCGCTTAATTATGACTATCTTAACCAAGATGCCCTAATTAGGATTTTTGTTTTTAATTGATCATCCAGGATAATTTTTGGATCTTTTCGGATGATATGATGAAAACAGAAAAAACAAACCAATAGACATAATTTTTTGCCCAAGTGTGTGTGCAAGGTTACATAGTATCAGGACCCACAAAGTTACAATGGAATCAAGAAAATGTAAAAGACACTTGACATATATTACAAGCTGACTCAGTCCTAATCTACCTAATCTTGAGCTGGTTTGATTTGCAATTTGATCTTGTGGACCTGAAACGTTAGTAGGCAAGGCAGTCGTTAAAAAATAGAAATGTTTGCTATCATCAAAATTCTATTCCCTAAAATTAGATTTGCAACATATAACCCATTTGTCTTTGCTATCTAGGCTACCCAAGTATTCTTTGTTACCTATCTAGGCAAATCGTGGGGTAAGCAAT